GAAATTTGCGATGCATTTTTCACTGTTTAGTGCTTGAAATATTTGCTAAAATTGACTGGGAATACTTAGAGATTTCATCGTAGAATGGCCTAGTTATATTTATTTGCTCTTTGACTAAAATGTTTAGCTGTATTATCGCTAAACATGCCGTTTTTGAGAATTTGGTTTGCAACTAGGTTTCAACGCCATCATCCCATTGAAAACATTAGGTCACGTCAGCTAGTATCCATGTATTTTATTATCCATGGTTATATTAGCTGTGAAAATATATAATAATTGTAAATACTTAAACTCACCTATAAAGGATTCTTGGATCGATTTATACAGTATTCTTTATTCACAGAATATGACGACTTTTGTAAGCAATATATAGTGTATTCACAACATCCAAACCAAACTTGAATTAATATATCCATCGAACCAAATAGAAACGGCTTTTAAGGTGGCTCCCTACAGTTTTCTAAAATTTTATGTATTTTAGGTAACCTTCGTTTTGAACCAAATTTATATTGAACACACTTAAGACAGGGCAACATAATCATTTCCAGTGTTAAGACAGGGCAACATAATCATTTCCTTTTGCACTTTTATTGTCTAATTTTACAATCAAACGGCAATATTTTTTTTTCCTTCGGTCAATATTTCTGAATTTTTTTTTTAAGATTTATGGTTGAAAGGGGAATGACATATTAAAATTTGAAGGGATGTTTATAAGGCAGGTTTTGAGATATTCATGAATAACGACTACAAAAAATCTGTCTTATAGAATTTCTTGAAATTTTGATATGTTTGGCGAATCGTCATGCTTAGCAAACGTGCAAAGTTTAAAAAATTTTCACCGAAGGAAACGCGAGAAAAATAGCCCTAAATCCAGTTGAAGCTGTTGACGTGACAAAATATCGATTCGACATGATCACTATTTGCGTGAGGAACTCGAAACGCGTACGGTTTATAGTTGGCTTTTTTAGCAATTTTCTCTTTGAGTTTTTTGCTTATATGTATCACACAGATATTTTTTACTTAGTTTGAAATGAAAATAAAAGATCTATATATTCAAAATACAAAACAATGAGAACACAATAACGCACTGACTTAATCCAACGTTTCTTAAATTTAGTTTTGTTGTGAAAATCGGTGTGAAAACTTTTCAAAACATTCAAGTAGAGTTTGACTTTTCGTATAAAACAACTCGTAACTGTCTGCATTATAGTTTTATTAATATTGGATTCAGCAGATAAAAAAAGTACATGTGAACTGAGTTGAATGACAGGATTTACGTAAGTTTCAGTGATAGTTCAGGAGTGCCTTGAAGACAGTATAAAATATAATAATTTTCATTCCGTGACACTGTTGTTGAACATTGTGAGCATTATTATGAAATACAGTACTGAAACGTGTTAAATATATAAAAAAAAAACGCACAGAAGGTAGGTAAAAAACTAGCTAACAAAATACGTACTGTTTGAATGTTGAAAAGTTTAGGATTATAATAAAAAACTGGCGTTTTCTTTGTAGATAAAAATACAAAAACAACTTCCCGCGGCTTGTTTCAAGATTTTTACCGGACCACGAAGATTCCACGCGCGAGTCGCGAGGATTACGTCTGAGCTATACAAATGTTTTAAACTGGACTATAACTGTAGGGAGCCACCTTAAATCTCAAGTACCCGACGCCACTGCCGACTCTTTCCGATCCGTTGCCAAGGACAACGCGAAAAAAAACTGGGAACGAATATCTTCTTGTATGGGCAAGCTCTCCTAATAAGGTAGGCTATTAAAAGCGCGAATATTCGCAGTATTTCCCGCGTTGGTTACTAGAGCACATTTAACAGCACACTCGTTCACTTCGTTTGTTTAAAACAATTAGAATGAGGCATACGAAAGAAGAAATGATCAATGCAAGAGCCAAGCTTTGAAGTACAACGAGCTTTGGAAAAAAAGTCTGAAAGCCAATAATCAACTGAAACGACTATTTAACGATAAAACGAATAAGAAGGTATGTATATTGTATATATGCCACACATCTTCAAGTATAATATTGATATATTCAAATATATTTATTTAATATATTCAGGGCCGTACGCACGATTTTTTCCACCAGGGGGGCAGTAAGGCCTATATGCCGAATAAGCTATATGCCCAAGTCCCAACTACCCAACGAATAATTAATAATGTCATTCTAAAAATCGTAAATATAGTTTTCTCTGGGGAGGGGCAGTGCCCCCCCCCCCTGCTGTGTAGGCCCTGATTATATTAAACAAGACGCCTGCTCAGGCGTTCACACTGGCCTGAAAATAACGAGATGCGTGCTATGTTGCAAAAGGCAGGAATACAAATCTCAAACCGCAAGCAAATTTTATGGACTTTTTAAAACTACCTTTTCGGGAGACGTAATGGTGCAAATCTTTTACTAGGAGTTACTATCGCAAGGAAAGTGCTGCCTTTATGGCGTATGAACTGAATGCAAAAATTTATACTTCTAGACAATTCTCGGTTATATTATTTATCCCTAATGTTTCCTTCTCGTTTATCATTTAAGCCCGTTCACAAACTCATTCTTAAATTGTGTGCACGAAATACGAGTAAATAGCCAACATGCAAATGGAGCCATTGGGTCAAAAGTGGACATTAAGGTCTATTAACCTATTAGCTGACAATGCAATTTAGTATTAACTCTGGCTAACGCCAGACCAATTTACACTGTAACGCCAGACGATTTTACTTGCTAGTGGCAGAGTACTGTCAGTACATGGGTTAACAAACACATCTGACATTGGTCTCTTATTAACCCATTAACAGGCAATGCACCCTAATACAGGTAACTCTTCAGAATTTGCTTAGAGTTAATGTGAGTAAAATACATCTTGTATTCAAGCGCTTTCATGTACAAAGTTTCGTTTGAATACGGCACAGAGTAGGAATATTTATTTTGAATTTTTCAAATTTTTGAATTTGGTTTTTACTCGCACGCACGTTTATAGCTCGATTGATGCACATGCAAATCATGCCGACCTACAGAATCGATTTCCGGTTTTTCCTAAACAGCGCGTTGTTTTGATCGCCGCGCTAAAAAATATAAATATTCTGTAAATACCGAAATAAAAGATGAAAATCCCAAGACACAAGCTTGAAAATAACACTATAAATAGTGTTACTATAAATAGTGTTTTCGATTCTGGTCCCAATAATATTATTACGAAAAAGATATGTTCAAAGGGGCAGAAGTTATGTTCGGCAAAATGTATGGCAAGTTTACATTGTTTGTTATATTATGAAATATGATACCATACTTGTATTAAAATTCGCGTCGAACTAAATATTATTATATTAGGCAAATGAATAGACTTGCCAGTTGCCACAAGTCGACCTCGAACGAAATGCGTTTCTTCGAGGTCGACTTGTGGCAAGTCTAGCAAATGAGAACCATACAATAATGGTTCTAGTTCTTGTTGCTATTTTGAAGGCACGCTTTATCTTTAGTATAGCTACCACAAAGCTTTTCGCGCGGATTATATTTCGCGCAGTACGCACCCAGCCGCCAGCGCTACGCGAATTCTCTTAATTCTAAGTACTGCGCGGATTTCGTAATACAAGTATTTAAAGGTATATTGTCGACATTTGACTAACACTATATCGTAAGGAATTAGGAGAGTTTGTCCTTGTTTATATTCCAATATATTGTATAAATTTCCTGGGTATAAATTTATGAAAGTTTGGGGTTTTCTAGTCGTTTAATAAATTAAAATTCAAAAAGAAAAACATTAATTCAACAGGCAAGAAAGTCCAGAGTGCGACGCAAAAATTGACACAAGTACATAACGGATGTCCACAGGAAACCGGCACAATTCTTTGAAAATTCAACGAAACTGTGTAAAATATAGTTTGATCACTCTGTGAAAAGTCGCCATTGGAGTTTGGAATTGTGCGCGTGCGTACAAGTGTATGGGCTAATAAAAGAAACATGTACCACAAGCATGAGTCGACTATTACGTACATAAATACGAGATTATTACTATACACCGAGGTGAGCCTGCGATGAGCTAACGCAAACTCCATTTCTCGAGTACGGAAAAAACAGAAAAAGAGGGATTTAAGACACTTGGCCTACAGGCCAGTGTAACAAGACGCTCCACGGAGCGTTAAGTCGCTGGGGCGATGGAAATATGCAATTTTAAGCACAAGTAATACCACTAAAGAAGAGCGTGCTTGTTTTTCCGAAAATATTGATTCTTGAAGTTTGCCTGGCAGTTAGCGCTAATAGTTAAAACAAGTACAACCATGTAGCAATGTTTGTTTTAATAGTCCTATAGTATAAAGTATCGTATGTGTTAAAATTATAAGCGTTTATCCTGTTGTCATTACACAGATCGGCTGGTGCTATGTTACCAACTGGTGCGTCGAAGGCTGGAAGGCAAGAATATTCTTCCCTTCGAAACTAAAGCATTATAACGTCTGTCTAATACAATAATGCCGCGTGAGAGATTACCAAGCGACTGTATTATGTATAGCAATAACGCTATAGTCATATCAACATACCATGCAGTGCGCACTGTGCAGTATAAAGGCGGCGATCTGCATGGAATAGTATTATAGTAATATATGTTAATAGGGCCATTTATACGTGATAAAATAAGTCGCGACTTACATAAGACGCGACTTAAATAAGTGGAGTTATCGTATAAATGGTTCTCTACGGCTTTGGTCTTATTTATTTGCTATAGCTATAATGTTGTTTTGGTTGTTTTTGTTTTAATATACAAGGCATAAAATTTTACGTTGTTTCAAGTTTCTGGCATATGTAGTTAGACTTTTTGTCCAAAATTTCTTATTTAAGACGCGACTTAAATCGAGACTTAAATAAGAACAGCTAAAAGACCTGTTCTTATGTAAGACGCGTCTTATCCAAGACGCGTCTTACATAAGAATTTTGTACCTTTTATACCACAAACTCGCGTCTTACCTTAAGTCGCGTCTTATGTAAGTCGC